TTTCTGTTTTCATTGCTTCCTCAAACTTCAGAATGACAGCATTGCATCATCACTCAGAACCCCAACCCACAACAGCAACAAAGTATTGCGACATCGGTGTAAAAGAAGGCGTGGGAAACAGCGCTTCAAACAACTGCTCTTTCATAAACACAGCAGTGGGGTAAACTCGGCGCTGGCTGAAATAGAAGCAGGCAGGTCAGTAACAGCCACAGGTCCCACAGTGGTCGTAGATACTGGCTCCCACATAAATCATTTAAGCTAATAACACAATTGGCATGATGGTACCCACTGCACTCACTGCTCCACATGACCATGCCTCCCACATGTCAATGCCCAACTGAGCTGGTAGTGGGATGCTACACTGCTCACCTCTACCTAATGCCTTCCTAATTCAACGGTCAGCTGCCTTGTCGCCAAAGGTCCATCTCGAACCTGCAAAAAGTCCAACCAAAATCTGAGCAGTGAGTCCCTGGGTGCGCAGCCGCATGCTCCCACCCTTCACAGTTACTTTTCAGAAGGGAATACAGAGTGTCCACTGGCCTAGTAAACGTACACAACTGGGCATGTCACCAGTCCTCCCTCAGGGCTTCTCCTCTCTCTTGCAGTCCTTGGTTGGGCTCGCTCATGCCATTCCACCGCTGAACATGCTATTCCCCTCCAGTCCGGTAGGGGACAATCCCACTTCGGACACCACTGCGGTGTTGGCAGAGAAGACACAAAAAAGGTAGCGTTTTGAACGAGTGCTATTTTTTTGACACAGCAGGGGAAACCCACCACTCAAAACGTTATCCTGGCTGAAATGGCCGGGATAACAGGTAGATCATCAATAAACACACCTCTATGTGACTGTAGGCAAGGTGTAAAATACAGGGGGATCTGGGAATCCGGGACCCTCTGATTAAACTCTTAGACCCCCTGCCATCGCATATTTGCAAAACTTGACCAAAAGAGTTTGGTGTAAAGAGTGAGCTGTTCCTCATTTCTCTTCTGCCTTCAGTGTGAGATGTAAGATTTCATTTCCAGAAGAAGAAGAATTGTCAAACCAAACATTTAGCTGCCATTGAAGCATCAGCACCGCTGTGGTGAGTGAGTTAGCAGCCAGACAACAAGGGACCCCCGAATACCAGGGTGATTTCAAACACTGACGGTAGGCACTAACACTGCACAACTACCCCATAACCCAACCCAGAGTAACTCAGTAAGCACATGTATATTTTGTGTGGGCTAACAAGACAACTGATTTACGCATGTAAGTCCCTCTCACTGTTGCCACGGCGATACCCAAACGAGCTGGTAGCGGAAACTCTGTTAATGTAGCTTAATGCACAGTGAGAGTGCAGCGTGTATGATGGCCATGTCCACCAAACAGATAAAAGGGTTTAGAACTTAAACAGGACAGGTTTAAACATCATATTTGGCTCTATTTTATCGTCCCTGGGAAGGCATTAGTCTGCATTCTTTGTTTTAAAAGCCTGCGCTCAGCTAAAGGTTATTTAAGCGGGTTTTAACTCTCTACAATCAGACTATTATTGTGTGGAACCAAATTAAAGATGGTGTTCGCTGCTGTTCAGATGTTTAAGCATGAACGGGTGTAGCCTGCATGAGATTCTCTGGAATGACCAAAATAAAGACATCAGCTTCTGGTAAAT